GTTATCTTCAGTTTGACCAATCTTTAGGATATCCAGCTTGAGATACCAAGTAGGTATATAGGTCAGAAGGCGAGAGACTTTTGGGCTAAAGGCAGAGATTCAGGAATGATTTTATAATGATAGTAGTATCCAAACACAGAAATGATACCTAGTGGGGGTAGCATATAATAGAAGAATGAAAGGAGAAGTGGTAGACAGAGAGATGCACCATCATTTAAGGACTTTGTAGAAGATGGAAAGCTAGTGAAGACAACTGAGATGGGATGGCTACTCTTGGGGAGATAACACAGGAAACCCAAGTGTACTGCAGTGTGATATGACAGGAAGCAAATAAAAGACTGGAACAGTTCATGGGATTGAGGCTTAGTGGCCCGACACACACGTACCGTGCATTCTAAGGCAGAGCTCATGCCTTTTAATCGATATATAATATATTGTCCCACAGATATAATCATGTAAATGTGTCCCTTTGTGAACTAAAATGTGTAAGAAATAGGGTCTCTTTGGGGATTAAGCGTAAGCGTGGCCTGCTGGGTTGTTTTATTTTTATGATTTTATATCTAGTTTTTTTCTCATCGTCAAACAAAAGGCACTGTTACCATCAGAATTACACACTGTCCAAGTGTAATTAATGACTTTAAAACTCAGTTTTATATTTCAGACTTTCTTTTTAACCTTGTTGGTTTATGTAGCTGGGAATATTTAAATAGGTATTGCTTATCTTCTGCTTGCAGGCTTATCGGTAACAGCAGAACAAATAAATCCTCATGGTACTGGAGCTCGGAAGACAGAAACTAGAGTTGAAGAGGCATTTCGGCACAAACAAAGAAATCCAATGGATGTTTGGCACAACTCTGCAAATAAATGTGCATGTGAGCGTTTGAGATCATGTTAACCAGTGGTGGGAACAACTGAGGATGATACAGATTTGTTAGGGAGTGGGTGTTTTCTCACAGCTCTTCTAAGCTCCTCTTTTCAGAGGTGAAGAGCTTGTGGGGTGAGAGGCTGAATCAGAAATATATTTCTTCAACCTTATTTGCTGTTTTCTACCCAGTTCACTACTTCCTTTTATAGCTGAGCTAAGTGTGAACATATTTTCAGTTTTAAACTGGTTTTTGGATTGAGACATGGACCAATAGACTTTTTTTCCACCCCTGTTGTTACCTACACCCTGCCTGTTCTATGCTATGTAACGTGTTCTCTCTATAGTGGGAAATGGAAGGTCCAGTGTGGGAGTGAATCAAATTGATTTTTACAGAAGAATACATTGTGCTCAGTTCGAAAAAATCTACACAGCCTTTTTTATTTACCTAGTTTTGTGAGTTTTTAAAATTTTTAAAATTTTTTAATGTTTTGCTATAGGACGTGTGTGCTCATTAGAGAGATAGAAAGGGAAAGTGAGAAATCACCCCCCGGGGTGTAGCCACACCGCAGTCTCTTCTCCTTTCTCTTGGGATTTTGTACATGCATATGCACGTGCCTGGTATGATTTTCAAACCGCTGGGTCTGGGACTCGAATCTCGAAGTCAGCAATGTTTCCACAAATTCAGCAGTGTTACCCTCCATGCCACCTACTGGCCTGAGATGTATTTAATAGAGGGAAAATTCTGTGTTGTGGAATTTCTTCATTTTTTACTCATTTATATTGAGCTGTAGAATTGCTACGATGGTAGTTAGTAAGCACAGCACTTTTCTAATACAGTCCTCTGTGTCACTGAGGACAGTATCCCTTGGAATGTAGATGCTGGGTTCTGCTATGGAGGGCTACAAATGTGATAATACTGCTCTTGCTGACAAAAAAGCTGGTCTTAATTCGTTCTTTCACCAAGGACATTGAATTTGAATGACTGACTCATACCTATTTTCTTTTAGAAGTTTGTCTTCCTTCAGTAAGTGGCATTCATATATGAAAAATTTTGAGAAAGAACTTAGTAGTGCATTTAGTTGCCATGAAACTGCTCAAAGTTGGCTAGCCTAATTGTATTGGGTCGTCGGAAAAGTCATGACGTATTTTTCTATGCAAAAATGTGTCATGACTTGAGATGACCCAATATTTCAGATCATGTAATTTAGACCTTGCAATCCTTTATGTCCTCTGCACCTGATAACACATATTCACTGAGGAAAGCACATTGAATATTTGCCCTAAGAATTTTAAGTTCCTTTCAGTATTAGAGATAGTCTCTCAATGTAGAAATGTAAGTTTGTTTTCTTACCAGTAGATGGCGTATGTGACGCATCATTTGTCTGTCCTACATTAACTTAACTCATAAATCTAAATGTCCCTACGGGAGTGTTGGTTCCCAAGGCCTTAGCTTTGAGAACAAGCTCAGTGATACTCTACGAATCGACTCTAAAGATTATACCCCTGAGTAGGCTTTTCACACGGAACACTCTTATAAAGGAAGTCGTGTATTAAAAATTAGGTCCACAAATATATCCTTCTCCCATATGCCAGCAACAGTGAAGATACAGCAGTGAGTGAAGCAAAAAGCCCTATTCTCGTGGACCTTACGTGATCCATTTCTCTTACTTTGCCAAAATTATACTAACCATTAGAGATATAAGGAAGAGAAAAAATATATCAGTTCTGTCTCCCACAGAATAAGAACAGTTGCTTTATTATCAGCTGGTATAAAAGCATTAGAAATAGACTTGTTTTATTAGGGCTTTTAGCCTTCGCTCAGTGTACTACATGGAAAGTAATTGAATTGGCTTGTGATTGACCAGAGTTTAGCCTCTTTGTGTCAAGAGTTCCATGGCTTAGGAAAGAAAAGGTAAACCTCTTGTATTTTTGGTTACATGGTTGGAGAATAAGAGATTAAAATGTCAGGAGTGGCTTGTTAGGTAGTAAAAACCTAATAGTCTCTCTTTTAGAGTGAGAGCAAGCTGGATGTTTTTCTTTCATCTTTAATATGAACTAGATTAGTTTTTCCTGTGGCTAATAGGATCCTTTGACTGTCATCTGAGCGTGTGTACCAGCTTTTAACAGGAGACTAATATAGAAAATTTCTTCTTTGTACTAATAGCTGTAAATTGTAAAAATAGAAATTAATAGGGGGAAAAGAATGAAGAGCTTGTTCTAATAGTTATTACGGTTTTGTAGGAAAATGTATTTTGACCAAATAACTAAATAACTTGAATTTTGGGGGTGGTTTCAATAAAAAGAAGCATAATATTTATAACCAAATGTATCCATTTCTAATGAATACTTTGGTGTCTTTACAGAGACTCAGTAAAGATTAAAAATGAAAAAATTATGAAAACTATATACTTTTGATAGACTGCAAGTTCCTATTAAGCAATAAATACAAGGAACAAGAGTAGTCATAGTAGCATCTTCTCTTCTGTGTCTACAGAGTGATTTTTCAACTGTAGGTTAAACAATCTATAGTTAGAGATCCTATATTTTTATTTTCTTTTTAAAACGTGTTGTCCAGGAAATGTTTTAGCTTTGACATATTAAAAATATACATTATTCTTTTTTAATGACAAGTCAGACTTGACAGTTCCTTTCATAGCCACAGGAACTGTGGGTTACTGTTATTTGCTTATGATTTACTTGTGGTAAACTAATATTTAGAATTCAGACTGGCTACCAGAAGTGATAGGGCTCTAGGTTAAGTGTTTTGCTTTTGTATTTAAATGTTCTAAAGAATGTTCAACTATATGATCCAAGTATCCCAGATTATGAAATAAAAGTTAACTTTATACTTATTTAAGGAACAATGGAGTAGACTTGCATAACCAACTATTTGATACATTTATGGAAAATTAAACATTCCTGGTCCTTTATCTCCTGGAAGTCTCAGCTGTTTACACATAAAGCTCATGATGGTTCCTAACATCTAGCAGTATAGTCCTGACAACTTTTGAACTCAGATAACTGGATTATTTTCAACATTTTATTAGTAATGTTATTGCCTTCATAGCAGAGGGCTTAGTGTTTCTACATAGCCTCAAATAACTTTGTAAGAAATGATCCTGCTAGGTGAACCATTGGTGCAAGAGAAGGTTAACAGTTGGCTAACCAGATTGTCCATGTAGCATAGGGCTTCCATTCATCATCATTCTTACTGTGGGTGACTTCATTTTCTGCTTCCTTTTTTGGGAAGTAGAGGCAACAGAAATTTCTTTGTGGGAATACCTGTAACTATTCTTTCATGCTGTATTAGATCATATCTTTATGTCCTTTCATGATTTAGGATATCTTTTGCTGGAAAAGATTTCCACCTTTCTGGTGGAGATCCAGGGTTATGACCTCGAACTTTCTGGATATCCTGATAGTGTGGTGGTTCCTTAAATGTTTATATTATATATTTGGCCCCTGGATATTGGAAATTAGGAACAGCTATAAAGTTAAACGTAAAGAAGAAAAGGCTAATGCTGATTAAAGTCACACAGGAAACAAATTTTTGAAAATTTTCATTCCTGACTTCATATCTGTTCCACTTGTGGGTTGTGAAAATTAGTCAGCAAGGCTATCAAGAGCTAAGCAGTTTGTGTCTGTGTATACACCAGTATGGGCTTACTTGCTTTGGGTCCTGTTTGATAAGTATCTGCACACTCCAAGTTCTATGTATTTTTTTTCTTTCCTTGTAATACAGTTCGAGTTCGGAGAAAATCAAGGCGACGATCACAGTGGGGTAAAGGAATTATTAAGAAAAGGAAAGTCAACAATTTAAAAAAAGATGAAGAGGACACTAAATTTGCAGACTATGATAACCACACAGAGGACAGGAAATTGATGGAGAATGGAGAGTTTGAGGTTAGCACCGACTGCCATGAGGAAAATGGAGAAGAGACTGGAGACTTATCAATGACCAATGACGAATCATCATGTGATGTCATGGACATGGACCAGGGGCAGAGGCTTAACAATGGAGCAGGAGCAAAAGAGAACTTTGCCTCCACCGAAGAGGAAAGTTCAAATGAATCTCTACTTGTCAACAGCAGCAGTTCTATAAATCCAGAACAGATATCTAGGAAAGAGCCTTTCCTTAAAGGAAACTGTTTAAATGGTGAGGCCTCCACTGACAGTTTTGAAGGAATACCGGCTTTGGACTGTCAGAATGGCAAGGTGGAAGTAGTTTCTTTATGTAGTAGCGGAGATAAATGTAGTTCTGAACAAAAGGTTCTTCCAGAGGACCACTCAAAAGAAAAACCAGAAACTGCGAATGAAAATCATGGAGATGATTCTGAGAAACTAGAGGCACTGGAATGCTGCAATAGTGAGAAGTTAGAACCTGGACCCGATGCGGAGGTTAAAGATGCAGAACTGGATAAAGAAGGTAGAATTAATATTAAAAAAAAAAAAATCTTCTGAAGGTTTAAACTTCAGAGTTAATTCATTATATATTTTATCTGGTTCCCAGAAGCAATAGTTGATGAATAGTTATAACTCTCTGAAAAGCTGTTGAAGTTTTCTTTTCTTTTCCCTAGAGGAGTGCACACGCACATGCTAAATGTTGCAAAAGTTTCAAAGAGTTTATAGTCCAGAATGCATTGCTTTCTGGCCTGCTTACTCCTCTGCCTTCCACCTGATTACCTCCCCTATCCTCAGGGATTAAGGACTACAGGCTGAGTAAATCCACAGGTGATAAAATGGAATTTCAACAGGAGGATTACTGGAGTAGGGTGAGGGTGGGCTGGGAATACTTGGACATCAGTATGGTATATTAGAAAGAGTCACAGACCTAGATTAAATTACCATTCCTATTTGTTATAATCAGTGTGGCCTTGATCTCTTATACTTTCCAAGCCTGTTTTCTGAATTTGTAAAACTGAACTTCGAGTGGTGTTGCAAGGATTAAATAAATCATGTATGTTATTTGCCTCTCAGGGTAACTGACACCTACTGAGATACTTTCATTCTAGGCTGTCATTGTTAGTTGAATGTGGGGGAAGAGGTTCTATCGCTTTATAAGGCCACTAGTAGAGGAAGGAAGCAGAACCCTCATTGTAATTTGCCTTGCTCTCAGAAAATCAGTACTCGACCAGCTCCTACTTCCTACGCCTGTGTGCTTCTTTAAGGAGCAGAAAAGGGGAGTTGCATTTCTAGCCTATCTTTGCTTATGATTATATATATATGTATACATACACATATATATATTTGGAGGGGAGAGGTTTTTGCTATTGGGCGTGTGCACTTGCCAAAAAGACAGAGAGAGACAGAAAATGAGAAATCACCCCCCAGGGGGTATGACCATGCAGCAATCCCTTCTCCATTTTCTTCTCGGGATCTTGGGCACACACGCACACACGCACACACACAGGCCTGTCATGAATTTAAACCACTGGGTCCGGGACTCGAGCTGTGGTCGACTACATGGGAGTCCAGCGACATAGCCATTACGCCAACTGCTGGTCCCTATTATTATAGTTTTTAGCCCATTGTGGGATGGAATGAGTTGGATATCTCCCCTGCTCAATAAACATTCCCTTCCTGGACAGGTACTCTTCTTATACTGGGCTATTTTGAAATTATATCATGTTCTCTAAATTGTGTGGAGTGTATAACTTTAGCCTGGGATTTGGGCTATGTGGGAAAGATTTTTTTGCTGTCAGCTTTTTAAGCCCTCTAGCAGAATTAGGAAGTTGGAAGGTATTATTCATAGTCTTAGCATTCTTTTAATGGATGAAGAGAGATTTGCTGTTCTTAAATGCTATCGGTTGAGAATTTTTCATTTTCCTCAATATTTAATAGTAGAAAGTAGTTTTAAGATCAATATTTTAAACTGGGCTATTATATAGATAGAACCCAAAAAATATATTAAAGCTAGAGCCAATTAATGAATGGGGCATCATGAGGAAAAGGGGAAAATTTGTAGTTGGGAGCAGAATGGCTGCAGGGAGAGAGGACTCCATTTCTATGCTGCTGCTTTGCGAGATTTCGTTAAATTTGCATAAATAGCCTTACATTAATATTTTGTTCAATGGGTGAGGTAAAAATGTTTAAAGATATTTATTGTATAAAACTTTGACCTAAAGTTTAAAGGTATATGTTGTGTAAAAAGTTCAACCTGAGATTTTCATTTGGGATTATCAGGATGTATTAATTGATGCATTGGTTTCTAATCCCAATTCTCAGGGCTCTGAGATGAGGCCATGGATGTGCTAATGAGGATCAGTGTGGCTTTAACAAAACTCCTAGGGTATGGTCATTGAACTAGAAAGGCTTCACTTTAAAGGCTGCTTGAAATATAAAATGTCACTGATATATCATGATACATATTTTTGAAGGTAGCATTTTGGTTCTTTCACTGTTGATCTGTAGAGCAGGCATTGATGAGGAAAAAGGAAGTGTTTAAAGCCTTGAGAGTAAGAGGATTGATACAGAAGCGAGGAGGAAGGTTCTCCTTACCTAATGTCCCTGACATGGCATGATCCCGTCGGAAATTCTGAACTAAGAAGCTTGTCTTTGCATTCCTTTCCCCCACAGCCTCCCCTTACATTAGTCCTACTGTGGAAGAGCATAGGATTTAATGATATCCTGACCCTTCGTGAAATTATGCACACTTACTCCCAAATTTCAGCTTTTGCAGTGTAGCTGGTCTCAGCAGATGTTAGGAGGAAAGTAATTCGACTATACTAATTTCACTGTAAGGTGAAAGGGTTTGTATTTTTAGGGGAAAAAAAATGTTTGTACCCAAGTCAATCTTTAATAGAATTTTAGGTGGTATAGTAGAAAGATAACACATTTCAGTGATTGTAGTTAGTTATAGCTTAGTTCTCCTCAATTTGGATTACTTGCAAAATAATCATTTATTATTTAAACAATATACCCTTCTCTCCTCCTTCAGAAAAGAATTTAAGAGTTTTTAAGAATGATTTTTCTTAACTTTTACTTGCTGCATTGCATTTTTTCTCAATTGTAGGTGCTTCTAAAGTAAAGAAATACCGTAAATTAATTTTAGAGCAGACGAAAACAACAAGCCTGGAACTGGTTCCAGAAGAGCCGTCTGAGCCGGTGCCACCTCTTGTAGTTGATCGGGAGAGACTGAGGGTGAGTTTAACTATTCCCTCAGCTTTCAGTGAATGGACGGAGATTTAAATGCGTTTGTAGGTAACTGAATAAAGCTAGTTTTGGAAATCTGCTCTAATTTGGAATGTAAGTACCTTTGGGCAGCCAGTAAGAGTTATGTGGGTTTTGAGAGGCTGAAAGATAATGAGAATAGTCTTGGTAATAAACTAACCTCTAGGATCTTCTAACCTTAGATGTCACTTTTACACCATAGCTGTATGGCTACCCATTGTCTATCTAGTTAAATTTCACTGTTTCAGTTTGACCAGTGAAACCAAACTATATTCTCTTTTCTTCTGATTTTTCTTAGAAATTGCTTGATTTATTAGTAGATAAAAGCAACAATCTGGCAGTTGATCAACTTGAGAGGTTATATTCTCTTCTTAGTCAGTGCATCTACCGTCATCGTAAGGATTATGACAAATCACAACTTGTAGAGGTAAGTGCTTATTAGTTCATCTGTAGAATAAACAAACATGCTTTTAACTTGGCCAGAGAAAGAAAAAAAAAAAGTGGTCTTACACACATCTGTATCTTTTTACCAAGTAACTAAAGAATGTATGGAAGATTTAAGATGAAAAGTGCATTGAGAGTCAAAGTTTAACAGCTTGAAGAATAATGCCTTTCTGTACCATTTTGTCTCAGTAAAGAAGTAACCTGGGGTTGCTTGTTTATCACAACACAGAAACCCATTGTTTGGGTGTGGCTGGTAGGTACATAGAATGTATGTCACAATTCACCCTGCTTATTACTATAATGCTGACCGAGCATATTACATGGGCCTCTGGACTCTGGATGTGGCCCCACAGTCCTTTCTCTGGCTCCCTGGCAGCCTCTGCTGACCTAAAGGAATTGCTGACATGGGCAGGGAGACCTATTTGCCACCCCATTCCTTTTTTTTTTTTTGGAAGAAGTTTTTGCTATAGGGTGCGTGTGCTCGCTAGAAAGACACAGAAAGCGAGATACAGAGAGACAGACAGCGAGAAATCATCCCCCAGGAGGGATGGCCACGCCGCAGTCCCTTCTCCTCCATTCTCCTCTCAGGATCTTGGGCACGCTCGCGCACGTGCCCGGCGTGAGATCAAGCCCCCAGCCCCATGACTTGAACTGCAGTCGACTAAAAATCATCTTCCTCTGTCATGTACAGTGATGGAAAGGCTGTCTTTTTGCTTAGATATTTTTAAAGATGACCAATTCTTTTTTTAGACAACTCTGTCACATAAGGAAGTTTTTTCCTTAAAAATGTGACCTTACATCTTTACTCTTATATCTCATTAAGCCACACTTCTTTCTGAGGTCATCTGAGCAAATGTAATTTCTCAACTACCCACTAAGTAGCTAAGTGATTTACTTAGACTTTCTGTTCATTTGCATGTTAGTTTATTTTTCTGGCAAGCTATTAAATATTTATTGAGTACCTCCAGTGCGTGATATTATGCCAGGTGTTTGGGAGTAAAAATGAGTAAGACAAAAATCCCTGCTCTCGAGGAACATATCTGGTATACTAAAGATTTAAATGTAGAGGATATGGTGTAATAAGGAATATTGGATTTGGATTAAAGCAAGAGAGCATTTAAAAATTATTTTATAATCACATTATTTCAAGTTGCACTTTTGTGAAGCTACACTAAGCCATATACTATATAGAAATAACAGGAAAGCATAATTGAGAAAATAAACAACATCACTATATTCCACAATCTAGAGAAAGGAGTCAGGGTTCGTCTTTTGAAATGTCTGAATGTACATCACATGCCTAAGTATGTACATATATTTAAAAATTGGGATTGCATTATATATTTTGTCTTATAATCTGATTTTTTTTCCTATTCACCAATATATGGTAAAATATACAGAGGTGTAATTTTGATTGATCATATAGAACTTTTTGATCAGATGATAATCTGTTAGTGCCACTCATTCTGTAGAGGTGCAGAACAGAGTATCTTTGAGCTGTATAAAAGGAGAAATGAAAACCAAATGTTTTAACTGTATTTGACATTGCCCCTCTCAATGAAATGCATGGGGAAGATTACATTATTTTTTAATTCTAGAATTTCTTTGTTAAAACAATTGCGACTCATTAGTTTGTACAGAATAGATACTGTTCAGCACTGAGACATCTCTCAGTATGGAACTTGGAACCCTTGTCATCTAAGGGCCTGCTGTAGGGAGGGAAGGGATTGGGAGCAGAATTAACAGTGAGTGGCTTTCTAGTGGTAGTGATGGCAGTCACTCCTTCTGGCTGTTCCCACCCCCATCTCTTTTCTGCTCTGATTGTAGGGAATAGAAATGGGAACAGGATGCATTCCATACTTTTTGGCATAAACTTCATTACATTGAATGCATTCAATTTTCCTTGGGAGTTAATAGAATATATTGAGTAAGGAAGGACTCAGGCTATGGAGTGAGGTTGACTATATTCATATCCTGACTGGCATTTATTAACTGTCAAATTATTCAGCCCCTCTGCCCGCGTTTCTTTGTCTATAAAATGGGGCCCATAATAATACCTATTGTCTTTTTTTTTTTAAGAGAGGTTTTTGCTATAGGCACATATGATCTCTAGAGTAGACAGAGAGACAGAGACAGAAAATGAGTAATCACCTATCGGAGGAATGGCCTTGTTACAATCCATTCTCCTCTGGGGATTTTGGGCACGTTCGCACACATGCCAAATGTGAATTTTAAGCCACCAGGTCCAGAACTCTAACGGACCATGGTGGTCGATCATGTGGGAGTCCAGTGATGTCACCATTACACCATCTGCTGGTCCTAATAATACATACATATACATGTATTTTTTTTTCTTTTTTTTTAGAGAGTTTTTTTGCTATAGGATACATGCACTCACCATAGAGACAGAGAGAGACAGAGACAGAATTGGAGAAATCACCCCCTCGGAGTTATGGCCATGCTGCAGTCCCTTCTCCTCCATTTTCCTCTTGGAATTTTGGGCGCACGCACACACACACACACACGTACTTGGCGTGAGTTTTAAGCCACTGGATCCTAGACTTGAACTGTGGTTGACTACGTGGGAGTCCAGCGACATAACCATTACGCCATCTGCTGGTCCCAACCTATTTTAATCTTCAACATTATTGTGGGAATTAAGTTCCATATATATATAATATACAAATTATATATAATATACATTATATTATAATAGTATATAATATAACAATAATACAATATATATAATATATAATATAATGTATATTATATTATTATATATAATTTGTATATTATTATATCCTTATATACTTGCATGCTTATACTTATATGTAAGTTACTTATAAAAGTCACATATTCACATACATGTTATCTATAAATGTCAATATTTATTTATATATTATATATACTTCTTAGTACAGTATCTGGCATAATAAGCTACTTGGATTACTGACGATTACTAACATAGTAAGTTGTTCATTGAGTGTTGCTGTCATCTTGTTATTTATGTTACTCATGCCGTGTACTTATAATACTGGCATAGGTTACTCATTGGACATTACTAGCCTCATTCGTCCTTATTAGCCTAAATACAAATAGATACTTTAGGGGCCAGCAGGTGGCATGGTGGTTAAGGTTGCTCGACTCCCCCATGACTAACCACGGATCAAGTGCCAGACTTGTTGGCTTGCTTTCACACTTTCTCTCTCTCTCTGTCCCTTTCTAGTCAAATATAAATAAATAAATAAAGTTAAATAAAGTAATTCTTTAGAAAAAAATAAGTACTTTAAAAATCTAGAGCAAATAGTCTTACTGAGTAGTTATGGTATTGTAATTAGGACAGTATTTATAAATTTTAACTTGTATCTCAAATTCTTTCTCTGAAAATTTAAAGTGAATTCTTTCATAGTGAGGATTACTTTTGTCTTTCCCTTAAAGATAACGTACTCTTTTTTTCTTATAGGAAATGGAAAGAACAGTTCATATGTTTGAGACATTCCTATGAACTTTTCAAGATGAGTGGTTTACCCTCTCCAATCTGCTCCTGGCTGAGCAGCCTTCTGAGCCATTCAATTTCAAATTGCACCAATTATGTGCAGAGCCTTGGTGTAAAGTGCTCTCTCACTCATTCTTTCTCTCTGTTGAATTTGGTGCTATTGTCTCAGGTACCTGAAACCAACCAGCCTACAAGAACCAAACAGAACTTCAGAAACATGTTGTATTTTCCACAAATAAAAAATACAACCCCACAGCTTGGAGATTTGGTGCTACAGAAACTGCTCTCGCTTCTGCCCCTCTTTTCATGCACTCTCTTTTGGAGATTCTCTCTTAGGGAGCAGACCAGCAAATGCGAGGAATCTGGATGGGGCAGTTCTAACTGTGTCGGATTGATTGAACAGTGGGCAGCCTATTTTTTTTCTCCTTTCTACCCCGTTTATCATATCTTCTCCCCTCCCCGCAATGGACTGAAACCTGTTTTAGAGTTGGGTATGGTATGTTATGGTGGGAAACAGAAGAAACTGGATGAAATTAGGTTAGGCTCTTTAGAACTGCCTTTAATGTGCCTTTTTATTATTCATTTGAGAAAGATAAGGCTTGAGGGGTGGGCTTATTTGTAGCAAGTAAATTAAAATGTTTTCTTTGGTTACAACCTTGAAAGTAAGCTTTGATACTCTGTGTCATTAAAAGACAACCAGTGTTTTGGTATTAAATGCTTGTCTTGTTCTCAAAGCTCAATTAAGACACCCAGTAAGCCACATAATATGATAAAATGGTAAGATTTCCGGTATGGTCTGTTTCTGTGTAAGAAACATGTAATAAAACAGCAACAACTGGTAATACACAGTCCAGAAAAACCCACACACGCTTCTTAACACTGCTGACAATGATGACCAGAAAAGAAGGGAATAGTGGCCATTCTTCCTTCTGTCGGTGGCAATTTAACAGTTACTCGTGTTGAGTTCCCACAGAAAAATGATTTTCATGTCTAGTAAACTGTTCCTGTTTTGTTTTAAAGCCAGGACTTGCCAAATGGATAGAAAAGAGAGGAATTCGTCAGAAACTTCACAAAAATTCATTTACTGTATGCATAATTACAAGTGAGCTCTGGTTTGGCCCTTGAATAACAGTATTAATAGTTAAATCCCTTCCCATAAGTTTACCTTCACAACTCTTCATGTGAGAGAGTGGAACCTCTTTTGGATCTTGTCGAATGATTTCTGTGAATTGTACTTACCTGAAATTAATGATGGGTTACTAGTTTTACAAAAACGTTCTACACATTTGGAGACACAGTCTAGGCAGTTGCAAAGAGGCAGAGGGAGTGCAGTGACATTTTTTTATCAGATGCTTTTTAAACAAAAAGGTAGACAATTTTGCCGACAAGTTGGCTTGATGACTTCATTCATACAGCCGTTAGCTGCAAGTATGTCTTTCCAATATATGCAACAGATGTAGTTTTGAGTTTTAGTTAGGGCAAATGGTCTTGGACTACTGCAGAGATACTGAGCTACCTCAGCTTTTCGTATTTTAGTTACCAACAGTGTTTACAGAGTTCTGTAAGCACTTTGCCACCGTTTACATGCTGAAGCTAAGGTACTTGTCTCCTTGTCTCTGGCTCTTGAAGTGTGTGGAAAGCACGCTTCGGCCATAGGCTACTGCAGTAATCCTAAGTGCTTCTTTGCATTTACATGAACATTTAACGCCTTCTAATCCTAGCTTAATTTTTTAAATGCCACTTGTTTTCTTTATACCTAGTCTATGAAGTTTTCATAATATTCAGTCACATAATTCAAGATGCTACCCATGTAGACACACTGTATTTTTAAGGTGGGCAAGTGCGATTAACGATGAACCATTTTAAAGGGGAGGTTATTTGAAGCCTCTAATTTGATTATCGGGAGGATTTTCATGCTTTCTTTAGTATTTATTACCATCATACCAGTTCAGACTATTTTACTGTCTAATACATTAGCATTTTGTATTTTGATGGAAATTGTTACAGAATTTAAAAGATTTGATGAAATAAGATGTAGCAGATTTTTTGTAGCAAGTTTCTGGTAGAAGGGTTTTTTGCAAGTCTCAGGTTCTTGCTGCACTATTTTTTTTTAAATATTTATTCCAGTTACTCTAATTCAGAAGCATTCTGTTCAAGTAACAGCAGCACTTGTGAAAGGAAAAACGCACATGTTCTTAGTAGGTTACTAAATTCGTACAAGTTAATTAAGACTTTAGCCATCAGTGAGTTTGACAAGGGAAATTTATTTATGTTCAGCATTAAAATGCTTCCAAAAGATCCTTTTAAATAATATTAACCTTAATGTAAATGGAGAAATCAGAGGCAACCTCAGTATAGGAACTGCCACTTTGAACAGTTTGGGTCTTAAAGAGAAAGCCAGTGTAATGCAGGGGGTGGGGGGAAACGTGAGCTGAAATTGTACCAACTCCTGGTTCCCTTTCTCCCCAAAAGAAACACACTATACCAGTTTTGCTTATTTTACAGATAATCTGGTGGTTCTATAGTTTAAAGCAGCTTGTGAAATTATCCAAGTGGACCCAATTTTGTTTACCTTTCTGTAAGTTCTTAATTTTTGCTGTATAGCATTGGCAAAAATATGTACAAATTGACCTCTGTTCTTATTTCCTATTGTGAGCATTATAAATGATTAGCTCCTGTGTACAACCTTGTTCTCAGATCAGTAAAATATGTATCACAGCCCAGCAATAGCTCATGCTCCGCTGTGGGGACCCTGGGAGCTTTTTGAAGATGATGGAACCGCACTAGGGTTGAAACTGATGGCTGTGGGTTTAATTGTTTTCGAGCTTGAATCTCACCTGTGATTAATTTTTGTTTTGTTTTGTTTTCATCCTTTCATGACTTGATTTTTTTTTTTTTTTTTTGCATATGCCAATGTATTTGTAGGTTTACTGGATTTTATTTTAGGGAATGGGGTGGTAATTTCTTATCTTCCCTTTTTGATTACGTTGGTTCAGCTATGGTGCTATTCAGTAGGTATCTTCAGTGTCAGGTCCCGTAGCTGAATGCCATTGTTATTATAATTATTATTTGTAATCACATTGTAAGCTTGAATTTGGGCTTGTACCTGCATCTTTTGTATTTTGTACATTTGGTTACTTAGACTTTGGGAGTCCTATTTGGTTTCAGTTATATATGGTCTACTTTGTAGATTAAATAGACTTCATCAACTATGGTCTATTTTGGGTTTGTAGTTTAATTTAGAATTGTGTTAAATTGATGTTTTACATTTGACTTCATTTTACATTAGTTTGAAGTAAATTATTTAATTTTGAATTCTGGAATTTGAACATTTACTGTAATTTGTAATATAACTGCTGTGAAATACTTGAATAAAGATGACAAGAAAAACACGTCTTCTTTAGCTTAATTGTGATCACCGTTGGCTGCAAATCAGTGCTGCTTTCGTAGCTGATTTTAAATGTTTTATAGATGGGGCATATTGCTGTTTATTAAGCCTCTGAAAAAAATCTTGTGATATCCTCCTTTTAAATTTTAAGCACACCTCAGGATTTTTTAGCTGAAAACTTTTTCTTTTGAGAAAATGTTTTAATTTCAGTTAAAGTTGTGTAAAAGATGTTGTACAGAAGCAAATGGATTCTTTCTGACATTTGTTTTTTCTAACTGGAAGGTAATGACACATGTCATATGATCAGGTAGTAATGATTCATTTATTTCATAATGCTTTCCCTTTTGTGGGTTTATTATCAGCATTCCTTGAACAGAATTGTACATAATAATGCTGAGAGATTTCATATCAGAATTTTGGAAAGACTTGTTTTTGGAATGACTGTTTCTTTTGTCTGCCCTGAGATACTTTCGCATGTTCATATAGTGTTTAATTGAGGGTATTGAATTATATTCCTCAAAATAAATCCTTAATTTTCATATTCTTTTGGGAATCACAGAAAAAAGAACTAGTTGAATTTGAGCAAGATTTCATAAATTATATAATTTTCACTTTTGATTGTATAAGATTGGTTTTGATAAACCTGGGAAACAGACTGTTTAAACTATCTATATTTAAATAAAGAGGATACAATAAATTTTTAAAACTGCCAGAGATATGAGAGAGAGAGAGAGAGATAGAGAGATAGAAGATAACCTTTCTCTGGTTTCCATCCTGTCATGATTTTGGGTACACACATATGCACCTGGTGTGTTATTCAAGTTGCTGGATTCAGGATTTGAACCATGTGGTCTGCCATGTAAAATGGGCTCTCCGGGGACCAGCAGGTGGCATGGTGGTTAAGGCACTGGACACCCCTACATGGTCTATCACAGTTCGAGTCCTGGACCTGGCGGGTTGCTTTCTCACTTTTCCTTCCTCTCTCTCTGCATCTCTCTCTCTGGCCAAATTAAAATAAATGAATGAATGAATAAAAATTAAATAAGTAATTCGTAAAAAAGAAAAAAAAAAAAAAGATTGGCTTTCTTAACCACCAGGGCACACAATTGCATTTGAGGCTCAGTCAAGTCTTTAGGACTCTGGAGATGAAGTTGAGTTTTATTTATCCAGCTTTAATTTCCGTAGCACTCAAAAATACAGTAAAATTACAGACTAACTTTAAAATATCGATCTTACATTATCCCTACACCCAAATGCCTGCATCGTTATCTATTAGCTCTTTAAACATTACATATCTCTATATAAATCCTCTCACTTACCCTCACTGTCATCTATCTGTTACGTCCCAGGCACCAGGCTGGGCGGACGACACAGTCCGTATTAAACAGCTTACAGTCCGCTAGGGGGGTTCGGCGCATATTCCAGTAGTACCCAGTCATTGCAATACGAGCTTGAATAGAAGGAACACCTTGTAGTTCAGAGTTCTAAGAAGGAAGCCAATTTATCCTGTGTAGGAATTGGGGAAAATAAAAGCCTTCAGAGAGAGCTGGTATTTTATTTGCTCTTTGACGCTCTGCATCTTCTGGAGTCTTGCTCCTTTTTACCAAAATTGTTTCTTGGTTATTTGTGGTCTTTCACGTTGCGTCATGTTCCACACATCGCTCTGGAACGCGTGGGCTCCGGCAGTATGTCTGCCTGACTGTTACGGCCTGTCTGATCCTTCTTTAGAACTTAGCTGTATTATGTGCTGTGTGATGTAGTAAGTTACTAATGCTGTGTAAAACTTAGTAAGTCATTCACGTGGGAAGAGGTGCCTGCATTTCTTCTGTGTTAGTTTGCTACAATGCTGGACACATAGTGTGTGCTTATTTATTCTTTTTGGTTTCATTGACATAGAAAGCCAAATGTTACCTAAACCGTGCTTTCATGAATTCACAATTGTATAGTGAGTGCGTGTCATGTGTTGCCGGTGGTGCTAGGAGTAAAGCAGCAAACAGGAAAAGTCCCTATCTTCATGGAGCTTAAATGGTTTTATTTATTTATTTATTCATTTATTTTTGGAAAGGTTTTTGCTATAGGGTGTATGCGCTCGCCAGAAAGACAGAGAGAGACAGACAGCGAGAAATCACCCCCCAGGGGGGATGGCCACGCCGCAATCCCTTCTCCTCCATTCTCCTCTCGGGATCTTGGGCACGCACGCACACGCGCCTGGCGTGAGTTTAAGCCACTGGGTCCGGGACTCGAACCACGGTCGACTACATGGGAGTCCAGCGACATAGCCATTATGCTAATTGCTGGTCCCAAGCTTAAATTGTTTTAGATATTATGAGCCAGGTGTCTGTCATGGTCGGTTAGAGTTCAAGTTATTTTTTTATAGTGGGGTGGTCTTAAAAAGCTCTTAAAGAGTATTTGAAGCTCTTAGAGCAGTGAATGAAGTATTTAGTTGTTAAATTTTTGCCAAGAATTCTGTTTCCACATTTTTTTTGGTTGTATTTTCCATCTTGGCGAGAACTTCAACTGTCTTTAATTTTGTCTTCTTTTTTCTTTGATTGCCAAAGGTGTGCATGCTCACTAGAGAGACAGAGAAAGAGAGGAGGAGAGAGAGAAAGCATTCCCAATGGGTCGTGTTCTCACTGCAGTCTCTTTTTTCTACTCCATACTGTTGAGAATTTCTTGGCTATGCATACAAGCCGACAGGGCCAGGGTTTGAGCTATGGTCAGCTTTGTGGGATTTTGCTCCCTTAACCAACTCTGCTGGTACTAAATGTTATCTTCTTTATGGCCCATCTCATCCTAACCCTGCACTACGCTCTTGATTTTTTTTTCTTTTTTCTTCTCTGTGCATCTCATCACCCTTTCTCCATCTTTAATGTGGCTAACTTGGTCTGGGCCTTAATCTTGTTTGGACTAGTGTAATGGCTGTCAGTTCAGCAAAACCTAAACATTTACTTTGTGCCTGCAGAGTGCTAGGTATTGGAGGAGTGTAAAGATGAACAAGACATTGTTTCTGTTTTTAAGATTTTTATAATTCAGTTTATTAGGTTGTTGGGAAAACCTTGACGTGTTTTTCTATGCAAAAATGCATCAGAACCTTCCTGACAACACAGTAAGATGCTTATGTCATGTTAGAGGTGTTAGAGGCTGTTCTGAGTGCTGTACAGATACAGAATCTTGTCATCCTGTGTGAAGCTGACAGGTTAGGTGCTATTATCATCTCTCTTTCTGTCTTTTTTGTTTGTTTGTTTCTATCAGAGCACATGCACACACTAAAGAGAGAGAAAGCAAGGAAGTGCCCTCCCTCCCCCCGTGGGACATAGTCACACCACAATCCCTTCTCTTCCAATACTCCTGCCTTTCGGGATTTGGGGCATATACACACCCATGCCCACCATGTGGCCACTGGGTCTGGCAGTCCACTTGGTGCAGCCGGCCATGTGGGATCTAGCTCGTGTAACCACCAGGCAGGCCACAGGCTGGCCCTGTTATCTTTGCATTACAGACTAAGAAGCTGAGCCATAGGTTAACTTGTTCAGGGTCACAGAGCCAAGGTTCAGGTACATTCCGTTTGACTTCAGAGCTGATGCCCCAAGTCATGATGTTTGACTGCTTCTTGTGGGGTAGACAGACATACAGACATGTTGTTTCAGTAAGATACGGCTTGTGTGAGATGGCGTTACCCATAAGGCACTGTAGGTGTACAGAGAAGGCATGTAGCCCAAGCTCAGGAAGCCTTTCTGGAAATCCTGATCCCTGAACTGAGGCCTCCAGATGGAAAAGATCTCCTAGGCAGAAGGGACAACAAAGACAGGCTGAGAAACGAAATTGCTGACAGCTTCAAAGGAAAGGACAAGCAGTTCTGTATGGGAGTTGCAGCTAAGTACAGGCCATCAAGGTCCATCCTTAATTGGAACACACAAGCTAGTGGACAAAGAACAACTGAGATGTTAAGTGCTAAGTGCTCGGGTAATAGTTAAGTATGCTGGTAGTAATAGCAGTAGCAGCAAATGTTGAGTGCCAGGTGTCCTTCTAAGCACTAGCCATTTAACCACCACAGCAACTATGTGAGGGAAGTGCTGTTGGTTCCATTTAACCAAAGGGGAAACAAACACAGGATGGTTCAGCAACTCACCTAGGTTACGCAGCTCTTGAGTATCTGCTGAGATCCTACTTGGGTGGCTTTAGAACCTGGGCTTTTTTTTTTCTTTTGTTTCAATTTGCTAGAGGACACATGCATGGCAGAGACAGGAGGAGGAAGCACCCTCTTCCCTAGTTGTGTGTGATCTTGCTCAGATCTCTCCTTCATTTCTCCATCC